GGCAATTTTTTTTATTTTTAACCATAGATAACTGTACTTGGTTGTACTATCAATGCTACAGGCGTACCAATAAATTCAGTGTATGCAGCAAGTATCCAACTTAGTACATTCATGTTGCATTATCACTCAAAACCAACAGACATTGTTTCATGGTAAGTAAAAAATTTAGTGAAATGCTTTCATTCAATATACAGGACAGTAGGCATCGTGCAGCGAAAACAGTTTTGCGAATAGCTGTACATCTTTGATCATGGGAAGAAATGTGCAAGCACCGATGTAGAAAGAGCGTGGGAAACTATGAGTGATATACCGATCGACTGATAGTTACATCAAAACTACGTCATGGCGTGCTATAGACAGATAAATTGAGGCTCCAGGTGGCAAGAATACGATCCCCCCTTTCCTTCCTCGTCCTCAGACTCGCAAGGTGAGTCATTGTACAATCCAATGTTCCATCGGTTTAAATCAACTCAAATTCACATTGAGTTATGGAAACAGGAGCAACGGTCCTTGCATACTTTGCCATTGGTCAATTAGTCAAAGCAATTGTAGACTATGGAAGGGATATGCTGGAATATAGTAAAGAGCGGGAACTCTTTTTGGGAGAATTGGAACCACTGGGCGAGATTCTATCTCGCTTGGAGCTTCTTGTGGAATCCAAGTCACAGTCTGTCCCACCCGACCCTTGGATAGAGGCCCTCCAGAAACTCGATCTGTTCAAAGACAATGCGACCCTTGGACATACCTTGCGAGACATAGCTTCGAAGCTTGATATCCCAAAAGACAAAATTTACACACGGGCTACAAAGAATATTGGAGCTCCTCAAGCTGTAGAGCTACTCACCCCGTCTGGTACGCACTCAGATGGATCTTTGACACGAAAGGTTGTGTCGGGAGCCCACAAAATCAAAGTCAGGTCCATTTGGGCACTTATAGGGAAAAGTGACATGATAGATCTGCTAGCACGAGTTCAGAGGATGTGCCAGATGGCTCAAATTGCCTTGTCGGCATACTCTGCGTATGTCGCTAGTTTCTGATGTATTTCCTCAGGCTGACATACACATGGTTTTTGGATCAGAGAGCAACTTACAAAGATGAGTGAAACAGTGGAGCAGCGTCTTGACCTATATCAACAACGTGAGTTTACTGTCATCCGCTACTCAAGTCTTCCTGTAACTTGTTTCGTAGAAATATCGGCCAAATTGGATGAAGGTGAATAATTTGCTTGAAGCAGAACAAGTCTGAATAATGGTCTAACTACTATTCAGGGCTTGTGCAAATCCATGACCAGCTTGATTCTCTTGAACAACAGTCACAGATGGAAAAAGACGGTTATTACATGTCCTTATTGTGGCCAACTTTTCCTGATTTCTCTCTTTGGTTAATAGATAAGCGCTTGCAAGATTTTATCATGAAGCTCCAGCCTGTTGACAATGAGACGAAACATCATAGTATCTCAGCGCAAAAGCAAACTGGGACCTGCAACCTGGCTGCCAAACCATCCCTGCTATGTATCTTGGTTATCTTCGGGAGAACACGTCTTGTGTCTTTTTGGTCAACGTATGCTATGACAGATTTCTCTCCCGTTGTTAAGATAGTAATAGTCCAAACAACAGCTGGTTCCGGAAAATCTGTGCTATGGTCTGTATTCCCATTTATGTTGTTACTCTATAGACCCACGAACCTTTATCACAGTTCTTCTGTAATTGAAGAGCTTGAAAGTAGCACCCTCACGCAAGTGATCTACCACTACTGTGACTTCCGTGACCAACACAGCACCAACGTCAAGACAATCTTTCATTCCTTGCTTGCCCAGCTTGTCAGACAAAATACCCAGCAATTCAATAAGAAACTCTGCCAGATAACCGATTCAAAGCTCAATATTTCTGGACTTCTTTCAACCATTGACAGGGTTGTAGATTGGATAATTGATGATCTATCTTCCCGGGATAAGCAACAGTATGTCGTAATTGACGCCTTAGACGAGTGCGAGGACTTTGATTGCTTGATCCCTTGTCTCCTCCGGTTGGCGTCGGTTCCGAAAGTATCTCTGTTGTTGTCCAGCCGTCAAGAAAGAGATATCTATGATCTCCTTTGTGACCAGTCAATTATATCTCTGGCAGATGAAGGAGCAAGTGTGTTAGCCGACATTACAATTCATATTGATCATGAACTTAAGGGTCGTCAAAAGCTCTCTCGCTTTCCTTCACCAGTGAAAGCAGATATTGCAAGAGCATTGATGGAGAAGTCTGATGGCATGTAAGCCCTCCTTGAATATCATAGTCCATAACCGGTTCTCACCAATCTCTTCCTTGCCTAGGTTTCGCTGGGTTCAGTGCCAGCTTGATAGCCTGGTGTACTGCAGGACAGCTGGTGCAGTGAAGGAAGCTCTTGCAAATCTTCCAAAAACCCTTTATGAAACCTATGAGCACATTCTTTACTCCATTGATGCAAAGGGTCCCACGGAGGCTCGCACAGCGCGACAGATCCTTCAGTGGATTATTGGATCTACAGTTCGCCCTCTAACGTTAACAGAGATCAATTCGGCACTTCAAATTGAGATAGGCCAACCAAAGCTCAATGAAGATTTTTGCCTCTTTGATGAGGAAGAGATATTGAGCATCTGTAAAAGTCTGGTGATGTGCAATTCAGGAGTTGTGTCACTGTCTCATTTTACAGTGAAGGTATTAAATCTCGACATGACATTTATTGAGACTTTTTGACATTGGGTTTTATAGGAATTTCTGGTTCAGGCAAGACTAGCAGATCTCAATCTTGGCCATTACGCCATGGTCAACAGTGTTGTGCATCACGATTTGAGTCTTCACTGCCTCACCTACCTGTTGTTAGATGCGTTCAAGATGGGTCCGGCTACTTCCAAAGAATCTTATGCTCAACGTCTCAGAGATTATCCATTCCTTCCTTGTGCAACTATTCAATTACCAGCTCATTTATCATCTGCTCCACAGAACGACCCAGAAATATATGCTCTAGTATCTCAACTCCTTCTGGATCCTACATTGCACAACTTCAGCTCCTTTTCCCAAACTGAGCACTTCATGGATAACATTGGATACACCTCACAGAATTATTATGTCCTGAGAAGAAACCCTTCTTTTATCAATTCCGGACAGAGTCCTCCATGGTTCATTGTCTGGTGCCGCACACCGTGGATTGCCCGGCGGCTTCTCCACGAACGCCCCGAGTGGCTGAATGCCGAATCAACGAGTTCCACCTTCTTTTGTGGTACTCCGCTACATTGGGCAATTTACAGCGGGTGTTGGGATATTGCAGAAGCGATCCTTGACAGTGGTGCCAATATTGACAAAAAATCAGTCACAGGTGTTAAAAGTTACTGTGGATCGACACAGTTAAGCCCTCTGCAGGCAGCTTTGGGGATGTCTTCTGGGGAAGGAGTGAAGCTCTTACTTGCTCGAGGAGCCAAAGTATCATGTGCGGAGTTGAAGTCTGCGATTTATCGTGTCCCGAGAGGAGTTCATGTCCATGATTTTGGAGCAATGTCCTGTGAACCAGTTGCAGCTCCACGAGCAGGCTGAAATTATTGTTGCAGCGGTGCATACTGGCGATCCCAGAATGGTCCAAACTCTTTTGGACGCAGGATGCGATCCAAAAGCCATAGACCCTGGCTCTGGGAAGAGTACCTTGCAGGCCGCTTTTGAGCTGAGGACGGCGGGAGTCATTGATGTTCTTATTAAAGCAGGTGCATCTCTAGAGGAGGTTCATCGATTCGCTTCACCTGATCAACTTGATTGGGCGTCAGGTTACAAATGGTACTCGCAATGCCTTCATGCTAGTCGGGGTCCTAGCAGCTCCAAACAAGTTTTCTAACACCATGGAAGAACTACAAATCATTCGTGACTTTCTGATGATCGCCCTAGGCCTTCCACTGAATGTTGCCACCCTTGTGATGGATTTAGCAGAACAGTGGGCCAATATCAGAGTCTCTAAGAATGAAACGATTGAATTTACTGAAGATTCAGCCGAAACTCCATACATTCGACTTGCCATGCCCAATGGTAATCTTCGCTCGATCATATTTATCACTTCCTCGCATGACCAAGGTGAGTTTACTCACTGATTATCATAAGAACATTCTTGAATTCTTCATACTTAGGCTATAGTGGAGAGCCCGAACACACTAAAGGGACTTATCAGGAGTCACACACCTGGTTTGAGGCTGCCATCATGCGGCAAGGAGAGCAGGTAGGTGATCGAAGGTTCATCCAAGCAAATGTTCAGGCGGCCAGCCAAAGCCGTACTCATAGGAATATATGGAGTGTGGTGAGAGCTGATAGGAACAGTGAGATGTACCCTTGGATGATGTCTATCTGCACTCAGGATGAGATTTGGATGCTCCCCAGGGCACGATACGCAGGATGGATCAATAATGTGGACGCAGCGGAGATTACCATTTGTTATACCTTCTGTTAGGCCTTGTAAGATAAATATGGAAGATCATTATAAGTATATGCATTTTGAAAGGGAAGGACAACACATTTCAATGAGTTGCCCACTCACTTTGCTTTTTTCAAGCTATCTGTCCACTTCAAGCTACATGTAGAGTACACTCCAGAGGGCACCGGAATTTTTACACTCACCCTGCCAGTACGGACTGTAACTTACTGGTCCATACAGTGTTGTACAAGTTACTGCGCACTACACAGTCACTCCATAGTAGGCACAGCACTATTTTGGTATTTTCCACACCTTCAAAGCCACTCTAATTTGGCTTTCATATTGTAAAGGGAACGTGATGACCCCTACCTGAGGCAGCAGGCTACACCATATGCCCATACAATATCTTCCTTTGTTACTTGTACTTTGTGGCATGCCTTGTACGCTACTATAGAAAGCATTTGATACTTGATACCAACAAACCACAAACCAAGATGGATCATGGCCGTGAGTGACTATAAGGATTTAACTTACGGGAATCTTTCAAAAAACTAGCATAAGCCAGAAATAAACAGTGGTTGAGATGGACAAATCCGGATTTGAACCGGAGACCTTTCGCAAAGCAGGAAACTGATTCTCGAGTTATGCAAAGCGAACGTGATAACCCCTACACCATATGCCCACAGGGAATGTGATTCAGTAATATATCTACTGTAGAAGGCACTCGTCTCTATCCATGCATTACGCAGACATCAGCCGGGAGGCTTTGAAGCTTGATTCTAGGTAGTTTAACATATACGCGAACGAGTATATATCTTCCAGGACCAACGACTCCCACAAATCTAAAAAATGCAAAACATGAGGGTGAGGGTGCCAAGATAACAATACTTGAGGCAAACAATGTGGCAAGCAATACGGAGAAGAATAGTCAGTATCGATATATATAGTAATAGCATGAGATATATGGCGTTTTTTTTTTTGCTCTATCTCAACAAAACACGATCTCTACCCGATTTTTAAATCACGAAACCCAATAACGGCAGCCCACCCTATCACTTCCTCCCACACCCGTACCCGCCGCCGCATTCGGTTTGGGTTGTGTGCTGCGCGGAGGTAGCAGTAGGTGTTGGTCGCGGGCCGATGAGGCACCCGGTGGAGAAGGTGAGGGAGGGCGTGGAGGAGGCGGCAAGGTCGGCGGTGCGGGCGAAGGTGGACACAGTGGTGGTGCATTGGTTGAGGTAACGAGTTGCAGGTGCCCGTATTACAGCGTTGAGGCTTGTTTGCAGCTGGTCATGTTGAGGGCAAAGTTACAACAGGACTGGGTGGAAAAGTTTGGGGCGATCATGGAGTCCTATGGTGGAACGTCGAACGTGAACGTGTGGACTTTGAGGGAAGGGAGTGGGGAGGCCATGTGCTGGAGAAGAAATGACGAAAATAAGTGATATTGGAGTGACAGAGATTGAATATTGAATATCGAATGGTTGGACACACACTGTGACACACCGGAGGTAGAAACAGTAGATATGCTCTGCGATGCGATCATGCGATTGGTATCGTCGAAGACACAGACACTGAGGGAGAGCCTTAAACTGAGCCGGAAGCCGTGGGTGTCGGTATTTCGAGTACAGAGATGGTTGACGATGCCGTGGCAATGGTCAAAGTCTGAGATCACGCGTGACGATGTAAGAGTTGTCTCTCTGCTGCTGGTGCTGGCGTTAGTTCATGAGACTCATGCGTGTACCTATGATTGTGAACTGCAGCTGCATCTCGTCAAAAGTCATCCCTGGTTCCGTTTCGCAGCAAGTATCTGATTTCAGAAGCCTTGTGAGTTACTGAGAATAACGAAGCCAGTAAATTGAGACAGGAAAGGGACTTACCTTATCACAGCAATATTCCAGCGACACGACACAATCTTCTAATCCACCATTTGTTGCTTTGCCTCTCGATAAACGTACGAGTAGTCATTAGTCACGGGACAAGAAGATAATCTTGGCGCTAAATCAGTAAACGCCTTCGTCGATTCATCCTAGCTTCTTCAGTGGTCTCCGGTCATCAGGCTTCAGCACTTCAGCGCTTCAGTTTCAGGCCTCAATATTCAATCTCTCAATGCCAATCCTTTGGTAAATGAAAGATCTGGTTCTGGTGGAATTCCGAAGAGATAATGTACGACAAAAATCTCGACACAATTGCAGTAGACCGCCAGCCGCATGAATTTGCAAGGATTGCGATGGACGTACAATGGGCTAAGAGTAGTTCTAATTTTTGGAAAGTCCGTGAAGATGAAGCTTGTGGACCCAACTCTCGCTCTGTCACTCGGGTCGGACCGTCGTCTCTGGTCAGTGTAACAACAGCCGGGGGCCTTATTGATATTTCAAGGACTTTGCGGGAAGCCTGTTCTCTCTGATTTGAATTTGACCGTGGATCCTGGTTAAATCTTCCGAGTCTCTTCTGGATGCAACTCCTCTCTTTTACCCAGGTATTCGTCTTCGCCTTTTATTTCCATCTCTTCCTTTTCTATGTTTACCCGGCTTCTCTATCCCTCAGGTCCACCAGGCAGCAAGCAACACCTTCATTCCACTAGTTCTATCTATCGCGGTCAGTATGGATTTATTTTGACATGTATATGAATACAGTCGTAGTACATCAAATAGCAGTCATTGTTCTGCAATACAGCTGGTTCGCGCTCATCCTCCTTCCACTCGCTTTATTCAGCGCAGATGTTATTGGCCACTTTCTACGATCTCATTCTGAGTTATCGAGGTCAACCGATACTTGCACTCTTCCTTGCAAAAGCATGTTCCATCGACACGCCTATCCGGTTTAATCTCTTTCGGATTCCTGTGCTTGCTTCAGAGGTGGGGTGGTTTTAATGATAGACCGATGTCTTTGTTATTCAGTGAGTTACTGTAACTCTTGCCCCGTTTCTTTTCCTTCCTTCCACCTTACCTTTCGCCTCTACACTTCGTTTCGAGGCAATAATCCTTATTGGTGCATGCTTTTCAGTAAGCTACATGACAGCGAACTGGACCGAAGGGGTTACGATGGTATCTTTTTATGTGATGAATAGTGAGTATAAATACACGCCTTTGCAAACTAACGATAACGCTCCTTAGGCGTTGACTGCGTCGTCCTATATTAGTGATGATCCCGGGATAATCTGCTCTTCCAGTCGGTGGAATGGACGTCCACTTCCACGGCTGAGTGATAAGTGATTACATTGATGTTTTCTTTGTGACCGAAAAAGACACAAGTTGTGCAAGAGCTAGGCCGGTCTATCAAGAAAGATCATCTATCAAGAAGAAGATCATAAGATGACAAGTATGGAAATCAAGGACCATGTAGTGCGAAAAATATGTGCGGTCAGGGGACAATATATGCTTTGAGGTATACGGTAGGTCGCTACAATTGCGACTTGGAGTAGATGTACCTGACAGTACACGCTAATTCGGTTCGAATTGTTTAGGCCGCAGGAAGTCCAACTTGTACCGCTGTGACTCTAGATGCCATGAGATATACCCGTCCCTGAACCCTCGCCACTGAAGCGCGATCGTCACATCAACGTCTGAGAGTCCCATGTCCCTACTATCCAATCCCTCCTTTACTATTCTCTCACAATCATGCAACCTCAATATCTCGTCAATCCTGTATGTTGCGTCCCTCAGTTCTTTACAGAGGAGATTGAATGTATCCAATACTGTCCACTTCCCCGATGCACCCGAGCCCGCGCACTCCCTGAATGATTGTGTCTGTAGGTGGATCATGTTGATCGTTTCACCGGCTAACTCCTCCTTATGGAAGGAGAGAACATCGTTCACGGCCACCTAATGCAAACCGTAAGCGGCCAAGTGAATCAGGTTAAAAAGGCATACTTACAACGTAGAAGGCCATGTCAGGGATTGCCATAATATATCGGGACAATGGTAATCCTTGACCTTTCGTTGACTTGAATATGGCAGCTGCATATGCCTCTCCGGCGCCCGTTTTGCGACGAACAAAAAGTGGACTGAAAACTAACAAGTGAGCGATAGTTGAACGGACAGAGACTCTCATATCCGCTTACAAGTGAGCCTTAGCTCCTGGCGAAATGTCTCGAGCAGCTTGATCTCCACTGTTTTGCCGTTGTTTTGCAAGATACTGATACCCCATATCATGGGGACTGGCACGTAGCGCAGCGTCCATGGTGAGCAGACGTTTCTCCAAGAGACAGCCATCGATGTAATTGAACCAGGGTGCAGTGGCTAAACCTCGTAGCACTGCGTCTCCCTCATACAGTTGCGCAAGCTCTTTTATGCATTTGTGGTAGAGTTCAAGTATGGCAGATGGCTGAGACTCGCCCATCAAGACATGATACGCAAAGCTTCCTATTTCGTCATATATTCCAACGGTGTTGGTTTCTAATGAGTCGTCAATGAAAAAGGCCAGGGCGGTAAGCTTTGCTATGATAGCTTTCATTTCAATGTTGGCAAATGGGTAAGACCTTTCAGCGATAGTGAAGGTTGTCTCTTCGAGGATATCAAGCTGGCTTGTCGTCCAGGATGTCATAGGCCCGAGCGTGTTGTGGATCCAGCTGTGATGGGAATGGAGAAAGTCCGTACAAGCCGGTAGGGGAGCGACGTAGCGATAATCAATTTCTCGAAGGAGGAGCTGAAGGCGAGAGACATAATCTTTCGATGTGTCTTTCTCGAGAGTAGAGGGAGAAATTTCAAAGAATCTGGCGTCTCCTGGCATAACTTCCGTTATGGCGACATGACGAGACGACTGAAGCTTTTATTAATGAATAGCGAGTATAGCGCTAGCAATGCTACTGGCGGAGCAGATACTATTTTTATCCTGGGCTGAGGGCAGGGTTCACTACAGGATATCACTCATGTTGCAAAGGGTAACCGGTAGATCTGCCATACTCGGAGGATCATCATATTATCTGAAGCGGCGGATTTAGTTGGATTAGCATAATCCGACCACGCGAATACCTTGAAGTTCCACCTCTCACAAGATGTCCGTTATTCGAGCCCCATATGATGTCTCTTTGAGCAACAACCCTACGCCCTGGACCCGACGCTCGCCGCCAAGTGGAGCCAAGTTTACTGACGCAAACAACGTTGATTCCGAACTTCCCCAGTTCTCCCGAAATTCTGCATAGGATTTTAGTCTCAGTGTGACCAAGCATCCTGCTTCTGTTCGACTAAAGGCGTGTTTGGTAGGACGCGGGAAACATAATGTCGTTGTAGAGGGCTTGAAAGTCATTGTCTCTTCGTCTTGTACGCGTCTATGAAGCCTCATTGAAAATGAACAAATTTTGAATTCTCACCAGATCCTCGCATTCGTGCTTTGGAAGGGCTCAACTTGCCAGAACGTTCAGCGTATCTCTGGCCTTTTAGCTTAATATTCGCTTGTCAGTTCTTACTCTTCAACCCAATACTTATGATCAAAAATCCTCGTTGTTCGTGTTTATTCCATTGGAGCGGCTTGTAGAGTATGGATGAGTCTTTACTGCGGAAAAGACCTTGAAGATCTTTCATCTGATGGTGATAACACCACCCTGGTTGGAGTCTCTGATAACGTTTGGGTACTGTCAACTCGACATTGCTAGCGATTAAGTATCTTATTTATCCGATCCGAGTACGTATACTGTACTACGCATATTCTAATGCTTTCGGGCTGTCAGGTTTGTTTGGAGCTGTG